CATTGACATCCTTGTGACACCGCATTGCCGTGCCAATCCACCTAGCAACGCCCCTGCAGCATCACGCGCCAGAACATTTGCACCCTGCCACGCAATTCCGTCTTACTGCATCGATATTTTGAGATTCTGTGACTTTGACTAGCCATGGCTTCATCATTGCAGTTTGCCTACCGGACCCTCAAGCACATTGGTGTCTTTGACGCCGCCCCTGCCTATGAACCCCTCCCTGGCTTGACCAAGCCCGAGGGCAACCTTCGCTGCTGTGCCTACTCCCCATGTGGCCGCTACTTTGGCTGGGCTTCGCCTGAGGCTGTCAGTGTCATTGACGCCTCTACAGGCGCCGTCATTCTCACCCTGCCCATCCTCAATGTCTACGAGCTCGGCTTCTCGCCCCAGGGCACCTTCCTCATCACCTGGGAGCGCCCTGCCAAGGATGAAAATGGCGATGCCACCAAGAACTTGAAGATTTGGCGCACAGTCGAGGAGGGTGTTGCTGCCGCCGATAAGCAACCCATTGGCCGCTTCGTCCAGAAGCAGCAGGGTGGCTGGAATCTCCAGTACACTGCCGACGAAAAGTACTGTGCCCGCCTCGTCACCAACGAGGTGCAATTCTACGAGACCCACGATCTTGTCACTGTCTGGAACAAGCTTCGCGTGGAGGGAGCCGCTAACTTCGCTCTCGCTCCTGGAAGCAAGAACCATGCTGTCGCGGTCTTCACCCCTGAGCGCAAGGTAAGCCTTTCTGAAGATGAAGTCTCTGCCTGGATGTTAACAAATTGCAGGGTCAACCCGCCTCGGTCCGCGTCTTCAACGTCCCCCAGTTCAACGCCCCCATCTCTCAAAAGACCTTTTTCAAGGGCGACAAGGTCCAGCTGAAGTGGAACAAGCGCGGCTCCAGCATCCTCGTTCTGGCCCAGACCGATGTCGATCGCTCCGGTAAGAGCTACTACGGCGAGACGACCCTCTATCTCTTGAGCACAAACGGTGCGTTTGATGCTCGCGTCTCGCTGGATAAGGAAGGTCCCATCCATGATGTCTCGTGGTCGCCCAACTCTCGCGAATTCGGTGTCGTCTACGGATTCATGCCTGCCAAGGCCACCATTTTCAATGATCGGGCTGTCGCAACTCACTCGTTCCCTTTGAGCCCTCGTAACACAATCACCTTTTCTCCCACGGGCCGTTTTGTTCTGGTGGCTGGCTTTGGAAACCTTGCTGGTCAGATTGACGTCTACGATCTCGAAAAGGACTACCGAAAGGTGTGCACCATTGAGAGCGGCAACCCCAGTGTCTGCGAGTGGAGCCCCGACAGCCGATACATCATGACTGCTACAACCTCGCCAAGACTCCGTGTCGAGAATGGTGTCAAGCTGTGGCACGTCGCTGGCAGCCTAATGTACAATGAAGATATGGTTGAATTGTACAATGTTGTCTGGAGGCCGCAGGCACCTGAGACTGCCGCACCGGGCGACCCTCTCACGACTGTGCCATCCCCCCACGCCTCCGCCGCCACCTATCTCGGGACAGTCAAGACACCAAGCAAACCTGCCGGTGCTTACCGCCCCCCTGGTGCGCGCGGTCTGGCTACTCCTTTGCACTTTAAGCGTGAAGATGAGGGTGGTGCTGCTCACGTTGTGAGCAACGGCACTCAAAATGTTGGGCCCAATGGTTTCGGTCGTGCTCGTCGTGCTGTCCCCGGCGCCGAGCTTTCGGAGTCTGCTTCCGCTCCTACGCGCGCAGTTCCTGGTGCTGAGCCAGTTGAGGGCGACGCCGCCAAGAAGGGCAAGAAGAAGAGAAGCAAGAGGAACAACAACAACCAGGGCGAGGCCAAACTCGAAGCGGAGCCAAACGGAGGCGCTAGTCTGGCCCCTCCTCAACAAGGCAAAGATGGCCGCCCCGAGAGACGTGGTGGTGCTGGTGCTGGTGGTAACGACCGCCACTACCGCAGTCGCTCTCGAAACAACGGCGACAGCCGAAGCCGTAGCAACACCAACCAGGGTCAGCGCAACGGTGGCAACGCCGCTCAGCAGGCCCCCGCTCAGGACGCTGGCGCCGCCGATGCTAACCCCCATGCTAAGAAGATTCGCAGTCTGCAGAAGAAGGTCCGCGCCATTGAGGATTTGGAGATGCGCTTGGCTGGCGGCGAGAAGCTTGAGGACACGCAGATGAAGAAGATACATACCAAGTCGGCTGTGATCAAGGAGCTCCAGGGCCTGGGCGCCGAGTCTTAGGAGCGAGATTTGTTGGCAAAGACAAAAGTCGTTCTAGATCGTCGTTATTCTGTGCATTTACGCGGTGCTGGCCGCTGTTTTGCGCACCAATGGAATGACTAGTCTTGGATATACGAGTATGGAAGAAGGCAAAACTACGATTAGCGCCGTCCTAATTGTGCATGTAACAAACGGCTGCTGGACATGGTACGAAAGAAGGATTGGGTGGATACCTTTATTTAGATGATGACTGCAAAAAGGTAGCATAGACTCGCAGGAAACGCGGGTATAGGGGATCAGATGACAACATGAATAATAGCCTATACGTTGCAAGTCGGTGCTTGGTGTCCGGTTGTGCATTGTCTAGTGAGGATGTGAGCGGGACTGTGCTTCCTAGAGCATGTGTCGGATCCCATGCACTTGTCAAATTCTTGGTTTTCGGCTGTCTCCTACTGCAAACATTGATCGATGCGATTTTGGTTGGTAAACGGTTCAAGTCTGAGTTTGTTAAGACGTGCACCCTTGCTTTCACTGTAGTCGGAGACTCGCAAGTTGAAGCCCGGTCCGACAAAAAGTGGGCAATTTTCCACAAGTCCGGCCACCGTGGTGGCCGAGTTCGTGTAAGCCACTAGCCTCAGCCCTGGTCCGGCCGTTGCAAAGATTGATGTCAAGTCAAAAGCCAAATTTGTTAATTCACATCACCATTGATAGATCCATCGCTTTCTAATCACAATCTTCTCATTCCTCATAAAAGAAGAGCAAAAAGCACAGTATGGGTCCGCCAAGACCGACGTTGAAGCCCCCGTCGTCGTGCTCGGGCGCAGACAGCCACGACAACCCGTCACCGATGCAAAAAGATTCTACCGCGGTGTCAAGTTTGTCCTTTTCGGTGTTTTTCTTTTCTGTTCCCTCGTCGGCATGTTCATGTCCATCTGCACGGATAACCTACCCACGTATGCGGTGCGGCGCGGCATGAGCCCCGCGCTGGCGGGGTACCTCCCCGCCGCGGTGCTTAACGCGATGACCGCGTTATCTCGGGCGTGCTGGTGGACCGGTTACGGGGCCACTGAATCTTTCAGGGACGGGAGGCGTTCACCACGGGCGACGTCATCTTGTGGCTTTAATCCAAGCACGTCTAATGAGGGCATTGTCGTCCACGTGGTCGTGTTTAGCGGCGCCATGTGCTTGTTTGGCAGGTTCTTGGCTCTCAGCGTCCACGCCATGATATCCCAGGGTTTCCTTGAGACGAGCGTTGGAGGACTCCGAACAGAATGGCAAACTAGACATACAGAGTTGGACATGGTTATAATTGTATTATCTATTCTAGACTAGACATGATTGACCACCTGATGTTGTGTGCTTACAGCGACCTCCATGCTTTCAGCTCGTCCTCGGAAACATATCTCAAACTGTTGACCTCGGCCGGCTTCCCCTTGACCGCCGCCGCCGTCACCTTGGCCGCCGTCTTGAGCGCACCGTACTCTGCCACATTGTGCGTAATAGTCTCTGCGTGGAGCTTGATCAGCCCGATGCGGGGGTCGTTTTCCGACCCGTCGTGCACGCCGTCGCCCAGGTCACCCAGCCAGGCCTTGAGTATAGGGCTGTAGTACTTTTGCACCTCGGCGCGGTCCGTGACGACGGTCGCGCGGCCGGCGACCGACGCCCACGAGCCCTTCGGGTCGAGGAACGACACGTTGACGTCGGGGTCGCTGGCAATATCGTCAGTCTTGCCCGATTCCGTGTTGATTTGGAAGACGAGGTCGATGCCGTTGCTCTCGGTGCCGGCGAGGGCCATGCTGCGCGAGACGAGGCGGCTGGAGCCGGCCTGGCGGGTCGTCAGCATGCCGTACTTGCTGGTCGTGATGAAGTCGGTAAAGTCCTTGATCTTTTGCGGGCCGTCGACCTTGGTGTCGGCGTTGGCCTTGGTGTAGGGATCGGCGGGCGCGTCGCCGGTGGACGTATTGGAAAAGGACATTATTTTGACTTGACTGAGTTTATTATGAAAAGTGATATTATAAGAAGACAATGGTTTGTGTGTGATAGTCGTTGCTAAAGGCTACTTTATAAGTTCGAGTTATGAGTGATGCTCCGTGACGTAATGGCGACGTTGATGATGCAAACGACTCGGGAGAAATGGTGACATCTGGTTTGCGTCGCCAGATCGACCTTTATGAATCATGAGCTAACGGCAATGTGCTTTCTCCATGTAGCCGAGGCGTGCGCGAATTGGTCGTGAATTATTTCCCGGTGCAGGCCCGTGCTGGTGAATTAAACGTGGCGTGCCGTCTCCCAGGACAATCCTTGCTCCGAGTTTGACGATGGATCATTGAACGCCGTTTATCGTTTGGATCCGAAAGCATAAAGACATGCAAATGACTAGAAACAGAGACACGAGAAAATTGGTGATTCTTTTTTTATTAGTCGGCTTCGGTAGAAACTGTCCCTGGACGGCGTACAATCTTGCCGCCGCCATGGCGTTGAGAGTTTAACAAATAGTTTATTAGTGTACGAATGGCGTGAAACAGTAGAAATAGATGGCACACGGGGAGGAGATTTTTTTCTTAGAGGAAAAAAATCTAGCGGCTGGTTTTTGTAACTTCTGGTATTTTCTAACCCTTCCTCCAATGTGTTTACAGCTTCTTCAGCAACTGAAGCCCATTACTCTGTCCATGTACAGGCAAGGATTGCCCTGTTTGCCCGTTGTGAAGCCCACACCCCCCGTACACATTCTCACCTAGAACGAAGGGCTCTTGGTGCTAAATAGCTTACCCACACTTCATCCGAGTAAATACCGACAAGGTGTCCGAGTGGTTAAGGGTAAGATTTCTTATATCTCCACTATTCTTCAGACTCCCCGTACTAACTCCACAAAGAGTGTGACTAGAAATCACATGGGTTCGCCCGCGTAGGTTCAAGTCCTGCCCTTGTCGAAACAATATCTTTTTGGTTCTTGTCGTCGTTTACGGCTTGCAGTCAACAGGTTCTTTTTACTCTCTCACGATCTGCAGTACATTTGTCTAGTTCCTTTTTTTTCCTAGTGATACCTAGGTAGTGAAAGCATGTTGCGCAGACACCAAGACACCCCGCTTGCGACTGTGGCAGTGAGAGGTCACTAGTGAGAGGGCGCGACGGCTGGAATCACGGCGAGACGCAGACTCGTTTTGGCGTAGCGCATGTGTTTATGGTTGCTTGAGGCTGCGCAAGTCTCTTGTCTGTACGAGGATGGAATTTCTTGCGGGTGGCCAATGGGCAATCGCGTATGTTGTCCTTACTCTGCCCATTTTGATGTGCATGGGACCATATTGTGGACAAGGTAGCAGTCGTTTCATTGTCTGGTAATGCTTTCAGCCAGCAAAGCACCCGGGTTATGGTATAAGAAATGGTGTACTGGTCCGTATTCAAGCATTGTGTCAAAGGTTGATCACCTCTTGTTTCTTGTGGGTTGATACCCCTGTGGTCAACGTCTTGGTGTAACTTTCGAAACATTTACGTAGACGTGTCAGCGGAGCAAGACAACCCGTTGAATAGATGAGGACCGACATCAGCCGAAAAAAAAAACAGACAACAATAAACAACCGAGCAGGGTACCACACAGCACCAAGCACGCAAAGCGATACAACACGTGTGAAACAAACCATTGAAAACAACAGTTGGCTGCAGGGTACGTAGTGGCTCACCTGCCCATGTGGGCTAAATGCTGCGGACCGCTTGAACAGGAGACGGGGAACACACAAGCGAAAACTAGGGCTTGGCGGGAAAAAAGAGGAAAAGAACTCCATCTATTTAGAGAAATCCAAGAAAGGAACTCTAAATAGGATTCACAGAATTGGATTGACAGGCGCTGCAAATTGCCTCGTAGAATGGCCAAATCGCAAGAATAAGCTTTTTGGGAACCTGAGACGCGGGTGCACCGCCACACCTGCATTAGCGCCGATCCGTTGGCGGCGAGATTTCACACGGGACGGAGCCTGGCAAGGTGGGCTGCTGGGTGGGCATGGCTGCATGAGTGAGAGTCGAACGGGGAGGGGTTGGGGGAACGGAGCCTGACTTGCATTTATTTGAGTTACGGTACATATTTAGTTGATGATGGATAAAAAGATTGCAGACTGCGTTTGTTGCAGGCGATGAAGATTCAATGTATTTCTCTGCGGAAATTGGCGCATGCAGCGACGGGGACATTCTCCAACGCCGCCGTGTAGAGACTAAAGAGGTGAGGCGGCAATACGATGGCAACGAGGTTGGAACCATGGAAAAAGGAAAAATTAAATAGAGATTCAAAGCGGAAATGGAAGTCAAGTGCTTATTTGGTAGCAGTTATAGTGGCGTGTGACGAGTCAATGAATTGATGCTAATCTGTACACGGAGAGAATACCTGATTAGGGCCTAGTTTGATGTAGATGTGCTTGCGTCAGAAAGAGGCACCGAGGTATAGGCGAGTGAGGGCGATTTCCAGAGGATACAAGCGCTGATTTTTAAATATGCCAAATTTTTTTCCGGCGACAGAAATGAATTATTTGCCCACAATTTTTCTTTATACCTTTGAGGCGCATCTGGTGAAGCCGTGTGGCCGCGCTTATCTGAAGAGTGATAGGATAACGGGGGTCCCACCCGGGACTGGGGTGGGGGTGGTGTGGCATGTGGCCGAGGGGTTCGTTGACGAAACAGGTACTGGTAGGTGGAAGAGGTTACGAATAGTCATGGAATCAAGAGAGGAGTAAAGTTGCAAGTATTTTAGATGGAACACGACTCATGTTCTTTTTTTTTTCTTTTTCGAAAACGCATGTCGTGCTCTATCGTGCTGGCCGTACCGTGCTCTGACGATCGTAGGTGGTGCACTAAGGGCACCCCCCTCCATGTCGGTCATCGGTTGGTTGCGTTTTCCCCGCCCAGGCCAGCTCGTGCTTGTTGCCTGCCTGCCCAATTGCCAAACAACCAAATAAAGAATTGCTAGGCTATTTTATTCCCTGGGGCCCCTGGGGAGCAGCGGCGCCGGCGGGGGCGCCTTGCTGGCTGGGCGGCGCTCCCACACCCCAGTTCAAAAAGGCTTTGTGTGGTGCCTGTGCTTTTTGGCTGCTTTTCGTCTCGACTCTTTCCCTCTCTCCCACTTGGGCTTCCCTACGCACGGCAGAAATAGGCTCGTTGTTGTCTCTGGCGCATTTCGTAATTGAAATACTGACTGGCCGCCCCCCCGGCCACCTGACACTGGGCAATGGGCATTAGCCTGAGGCTTCCGAGTTACCTTCTGAATACTTGATTACTGGCGCAGGCCCTCGACTGTCGGTACCTGGCTCGCAGCCCGTTTGCGCTGGTGATTTGCCAATCCTGCATCTTGTAACCTTTGTATATCTCGCGTTCTCTCTGGCGGGTCTATTCCTTTGGTGTCTGTATCTTGGTTGTATTTCCTATTCCTGTCTAAACAGTTCTTCTCTTGCGCCCCCCCCTCTCATTCCGCCTTGCCATCCCACCCCAACAATTCCTTCTTATTCCACTACCCTTTTTCCTTTGCTCAGCGCCACGGCACCCCCGTATATTATTATCAAACTAGCAATTATCCAGCCAAAAAGTGCCAGCAATTGTAACCATCCCCAAGCCCGTAGAGCCCAGTAAAAAAAAAGAGAGAGAGCCGACCTTTTACTTGCCCCATCTCGTCCATCCGCCTTCTCGCTTTCCCCCCTTCTGTTCCATTCCCGCCCCCTTTCTCACTTCTCTACTCCTACACATCGACCACATCACTGCAGAAAAATCAGCACAAAATCGCCGCAATCGATTTTCGATTTTCATCTATTTCGATTCATCGCGCCATCCGACTCGTCGATTTGAGCACATCTTTTTGTGCCTGAGCACCTGCTCTATAATTTTCTCGCTTCATATTGACGCCATCACCGCGTCTTTGCCGTTTTTTTCGCGTCTGTTTATTCGCCATTCTTTCGGCGTTCGCGCCTGTCGCTGCTGGTCAAGTGAGGCTATTCCCAAGCACGACTGTTACGCTGGACCCACCTTCTCCAGGCGTCATTCTTGCCCAGCCAATCACGGCTCGTTCCTCGCCTCGCCCGCGCCGCGCCCACCCACACTGGGCCGCACAGCAACGCAACCCTGCTGCAGCCAATCCAGATAGGCCCTTCATTCGTCCAAGCTGCACTTCGACGCGGCCAGCGTCAGCTACCGCTCATTCATTCATTGCGCTTTCGTCTGGATCTACCCTATATGTGTGACTGATCTCAACTACGATACCTTTTTTCAAACCCTTCTGTTCTTCCCCTTTCCTCGCCGTTGGTGGCTCTCCGCTCCTGTCGCACTGCCTCGTGCGACCGCCACACATCAACCCACCAGACATTGATCCTGACCGATTCTCGCACACAAACGCACAAAGCCCAATACAATGGACGAAATCGTCGTTAGCAACGACCAGCGTCGAACTCAGCAAACCACATTTCAACAATACCAGCCGCCTGGCTCCCAATCAAATGAGTCGCCAACCCCAACGCGGCAGGTTTCCACCGTCATGGTAGGCGGCAAGCTCCAGGAGAAGAAGTATGACTTGATTGACGGCAAATGGGTGCAGCTCACGGCGGCTGGCGTCCCGCGCAAAAAGCCCGGCCGCAAACCCGGCGCCAATGTCAAGCCCAAGGATGCCGACGTCAAGACGAGGCGGCCCAGGAAACCGCGCGAACCTGATGCGACGCTCATCCAGCGCAAGCGCAAGGTTGCCCTCACCGACACGGAACAGGACGACTCCGACGTATCACGAGCCCCCGCCCACACAGGCGCTTCGCCAAACTCCACCTCCCACAGCTTCCTGCAAACATCTCCCACGCAAGCTCGTTCCTCGCCCAAGATGCCCAAGCGCGAAGGCTATCCCAGCTCCATGCAGAAGATTCTCAACGACGATCCGCCACCTGCTGTCTCTGTACCTGTTCGCACCAGCGGCCAGAGCTATGATCCGATCCGGGGCATCTCCGGACCTGCGCGCGATGCGCCCTCCCACAATCCATACTCTCCCGCCTCGGGCTCCCCTAGAGCGCTCGCCAACGCCAATAAATCCCCATCCATCGCCAGTCTACTGGAGCCCGCCGCTCCCAACATGTCGCCTTCAAACTCGCACAACGGCTACCCTGCGTCCCGTCTATTGGACGATAGACCCTTGCAGGCTTCTCCCTCAAATCAACCACCTCGGCCATTTGCTGCTCGCCCGGCTCCAGAAAAACCAGACGCACTCGATGTGCCTCGACCCGTCGTCAACCCGTCGAACTTCACAACGATCGCCAACGGTCCCGTAAGGAAAGTGTCACCCAAGCACACTGGCGCATCCACACCCAGAACAGACATGGACGACCTTGGAACCGAAGGAGAAGGCCGCTCTATCCTCGACTTTGGCAAAGCCAAACCGGGCGAGGAGGCTGATGTGCCCACTATTGTTTTGAGCATTCCCATCGTCCACGGCGAGACAAACAAATATGTCAACTTCTTGCGACTCGCAGAAGACCGCTATGGCTGGGACGCTCTGCATCCTCGCCTGGCGGCTAACCGAGACCGCAAAGCGCGCATTGCGGCGGCCGCGGCCAATCTTGAAAGGATCGAATCGGGTAGAGAATCTGGAGATGAAATGTCCGTGGACCTGTCCGACGGCGAGGGTAGCAACCCCGAGGTCGCTGGCGCCAGCGGCACTGACAACCAGCCCAAGCCCACCAAGAAGAAGCGTAATTTCAAGGAGGACCAGTACGATGTCGACGATGAGTTTGTAGACGACTCAGAGATGCTCTGGGAGGCGCAGGCCGCCGCCAGTCGTGACGGATTCTTTGTCTATTCGGGGCCGCTGGTGCCCGAGGTTGAAAAGCCTCCAGCTGGGTGTGTATCTCTTCTTCATCATCTTGTACGAATACGAACTGACCACTTTACAGTACTGAAGGTCCTGTTCGGCGTGGCCGTGGCG